ATTTTTAATCTGGGAGTTATTCCCACCTCATTTAAGTTTTTTGTCCTATGAAAGAAGTTTCTTTAAACTTCTGCTGGTGTGATTGATCTTTGATTTCTGGTATCTGATTTGTTGTTTGCCCCACAGTCCTCCCATAGCTTTTCACAGGCTTTTCTAAACAAAGGAAGCTCACCTGGGCAGTCTATGTATCCATGCGTGTGCAAGTTAAACAAAGACCTCTAAGCTCCTGGATGGAGACGTGAGAGAAGGCAGGTTGGGCATGTCACTAGGAAGTTCTTGCCTTTGAAACAACACCGTTTGTGGACCTAGGAAGAGAAGTTAATTACATTCCCTCAGTCTGAGATACTGTTTGTTATGATTTCTGTTCTTTTGCATTTGCAGAGGAGAGTTTTACTGCCAATTATGTGGTCAATTTTAGAATAAGCGTGATATCGTGCTGAGAAGAATGTATATTCTGTTGATTTGGGTTGGAAAATTCTGTAGATGTCTATTAGGTCCTCCTGGTCCAGAGCTGAGTTTACATCCTAGATATCCTTATTAATTTTCTTTCTTAATGATCTATATTGACATTGGGGTGTTAAAGTCTCCCACTATTATTGTGTGGGAGTCTAGGTTTCTTTATATATCTCTAAGAACTTGTTTTATGAATCTGGGTGCTTCTGTATTTGATGCATATTTATTTAAAATAGTTAGCTCTTCTTGTTGCATTGATCCCTTTACCATTATGTAATTTTCTTCTTTCTTTTGATCTTTGTTGGTTTAAAGTCTGTTTTATCAGAGAGTAGGATTGCAACCCATTTTTGTTTCTTTTTTGCTTTCCATTTGATTGGTAAATCTTCCTCCATCTTTTTATTTTGAGTCTGTGTGTGTCTTTGCATGTAAGAAGTTCTCCTGAATATGGTACACCGGTGGGTCTTGACTCTTTATCCAATTTGCCAGTCTGTGTCTTTTAATTGGGGCATTTAGTCCATTTACAATTAAGATTAATATTGTTACATGTGAATTTAATTCTGTCATTATGATGCTAGCTGGTTATTTTGCCCATTAGTTGATACAGTTTCTTCATAGCATTGATGGTATTTATAATTTGGTGTGTTTTTTCATTGGTGGTGCAGGTTGTTCCTTTTCATGTTTAGTGCTTCCTTCAGGAACTCTTGTAAGGTAGGCCTTGTGGTGAGAAAGTTTCTCAGCATTTGCTTGTCTGGAAAGAATTTTATTTCTCCTTTGCTTATGAAGCTTAGCTTGGTGGAATATGAAATTCTGGGTTGAAAATTCTTTGAGAATGTTGAATGTTGGCCCCCACTCTGTTTTGGCTTGTAGGGTTTCTGCCAAGACATCTGCTGTTAGTCTGATGGGCTTCCCTTTGTGGGTAACTCAATCTTTCTCTCTGGCTGTGCCTAACATTTTTTCCTTCATTTCAACCTTGGTGAGTCTGATAATTATGGGTGTTGGGGTTGCTGTTCTCAAGATGTATCTTTGTGGTGTTCTCTGTATTTCCTGAATTTGAATGTTGGCCTGCCTTGCTAGGTTGGGGAAGTTCTCCTGAATAATATTCTGAAGAGTGTTTGCCAACTTGGTTCCATTCTTCCTGTCACTTTTAGGTACACCAATGAAACATAGATTTGTTCTTTTCACACAGTCCCGTATTTATTGGAGGCTTTGTTTATTCCTTTTCATTCTTTGTTCTCTTATATTATCTTCTTGCTTTATTTTATTGTGTTCATCTTTTTTTCTTTTTGAAACAGAGTCTTGCTCTGTCACCAGGTACCAGGCTGGAGTGCAGTGGCATGATCTTGGCTCACTGCAACCTCTGCCTCCTGGGTTCAAGGAATTCTCCTGCCTCAGCCTCCTGAGTAGCTGGGACTACAGGCATGTGGCACCATCCCCAGCTAATTTTTTTATTTTAGAAGAGACAGGGTTTCACCATGTTGGCCAGGATGATCTCCATCTCTTGACCTCGTGATCCACCTGCCTTGGCTGCCCAAAGTGCTGGGATTACAGGTGTGAGCACTGCATTCATCTTTAATCTCTGATATCCTTTCTTCTGCTTGATTGATTTGGCTGTTGACACTTGTGTATGCTTCATGAAGTTCTTGTGCTGTGTTTTTCAGCTCCATCATGCCATTTATGTTCTTTTCTGAAGTGGTTATTCTAGTTAGCAATTCATCTAACCCTTTTTCAAGGCTTTTAGCTTCCTTGCATTGAATTAGAGCATGCTGCTTTAGCTTGGAGGAGTTTGTAAATATCTACCCTCTGAAGCCTACTTCTGTCAATTCTTCATATTTATTCTCCATACAGTTTTGTTCCCTTGCTGGCAAGGAGTTGTGATCTTTTGGAGGAGGAGTTCTGATTTTTGGAATTTTTAGTCTTTTTGCCCTGGTTTCTCCCCATCTTCATGGATTCATCTACCTTTGGTCTTTGATTTTGGTGACCTTTGGATGGGGTCTCTGAGTGGACATCCTTTAGGCTGTTGTTGATGCTATTGCTTTCTTTTTGTTAGTTTTCCTTCAAACAGTCTGGCTTCTCTGCTGCAGGTTTGCTGGAGTTTGCTGGAGGTCCACTCCAGACCCTGTTTGCCTGGGTGTCACCAGTGGAGGCTGCAGAACAGCAAAGATTGCTGCCTGTTCATTCCTTGGGAAGCTTCATCTCAGAGGGGCACCTGCCAGATGCCAGTCAGAGTTCTTCTGTATGTGGTGGTGTCTGTTGGCCCTTATGGAAAGATGTCTATCAATAAGGATACATGGGAGTCAGGGACCTGCTTGAGGCTGTCTATTTCTTACCAGAGCTCTAACACTGTGCTGGGTGATCCACTGCTCAGAGCTGTCAGGCAGGGACGTTTAAGTTGCTGAAGCTGCACCCACAGCCACCCCTTTCCCCAGGTGCTCTATCTCAGGGAGATAGGGGTTCTATTTACAAGTCCCTGACTGGGGCTGCTGCCTTTTTTTCAGAGATGCCCTGCCCAGATAGGAGGAATCTAGAGAAGCAGTGTGGTGACAGTGGCCTTGCCGAGCTGTGGTGGGCTCTGCCTAGTTTAAACTGGTTGGCAGCTTTGTTTACACTGTGAGGGTAAAACTGCCTGTTCAAGCCTCAGCAATGGTGGATGCCCCTTCTCTTACCCAGCTCGAACATCCCAGGTCGACTTCAGACTACTGTGCTGGCAGTGAGAATTTCCAGCCAATGATCTTAGCTTGCTGGGCTTTGTGGGGGTGGGATCTGCTGAGCCAGACTACTTGGCTCCCTGGCTTCAGCCTACTTTCCAGAAGAGTAAATGGTTCTGTCTCACTGGCGTTCCAGGTGCCACTGGAGTATAAAAAAACTCCTACTACTAGTTTGGTGTCTGCCCAAATGGCTGCCCAGATCTGTGCTTGAAACCCAGGTACCAGAGGGAATCTCCTGCTCTGCTGGTTGTGAAGACTGTGGGAAAAATGCAGTATCTGGGCTGGAATGCATTGTTCTTCCAGGTACAGTCTCTCATGGCTTCCCTTGGCTAAAGGAATAAAATCCCCTGACCCCTTGTGCTTCCTGGGTGAGGCGATGCCCCACCCTGCTTCGGCTTACCTTTCGTGGGATGCACCCACTGTCCAACCAGTCTCAATAAGATGAATTGGGTAACTCGGTTGGAAATGTAGAAATCACCCACCTTCTGCCTCAATCTCACTGGGAGCTGCAGACTGGAGCTGTTCCAATTCAGCCATCTTGCCAGCCAAAAGACTCTGAATCTTTATCTGATGTGTTACTATGATTTGACACATGGGCAATTGTCTCTGTTTTAAATATTTCTTTTTTTGGTTATAGGGTCTGACCTCCTCCAACATTTTCTTACATAGATCTGGTCCTTCCTTTTCTGTTTCTTTTGAAAAGAAAGATCCTGATAGGTGATCTCTTTGACATCCTTGATTTTCATCTGCCATTGAAGACCTGCTTTTGTGATTTTCCTTGAATTTTTGTTCCAGAGGAGGTTGCAATGGGTGTTTACAGTGTGTCTTTCAGGGACACCTTTTTATCCTGGAAGGCAGCTCAATACCTTAGTGCTTGCCCCTTCACCGGGTGTTCCTCTCACAGGATACTTATGTGTGCTAGCAGATGTTCTTGCACTCTTCTCTGATCTGTGTCCAATTTATTCCTACCGAGACAGCCACTCTCTGAGAGAGCCCTGCCCGGGAGGAGTGTTTAGTTCAGGTTTATTGGTCAGGTGAAAAACAGAGGAGCCAACACAACAAAACACAAGAAATAACAGAAGCAGTGTATTACTTACAGATCCCAGAGATAAGAGAGCAGCAAGAAAAATTCTGAGGTCAAATGTTCATTATTTGAACTCTCTCTAAAAAAAAAAACAAACTCCTACAAGTATGGAGCAAACTCTGTACTTTTTTTTCTGTCTATTTTGAATCTAATAACTCTTCTATTGGTGTTGAGATAAAATGGATGACTTATGGCACTCCAGCCAAGACTCTTTTAAAAAGTCTTAAAGGGCTTTTAACTCAATGGCCTTACAAATTACAACAGCTTCATTATAACCAACAACCTAAACACCTTTTGGAAATGTAAATGTTTAGTTAAGCTTGTCTGTATGTTCAGGGTGATGGAACAGTTAGTTGAATAATTAATATTATTAAAAAACTAGAAAAATGTATACAAAAAGTTAGGCTCTCAGATTAAACAGATAAAAATGTTGAGCTCAGAGTGATAATGTAAACTGTATCTGTCTGCCACCCAGGTTGCTTTGTCTGCCACACAGGGACCAACAGACAAAGGCAAACAAACAAACATAACTTCTAACGTGCTTCCCCGCTGATTGGTCAACCAAACCAGACCAGCAAGCAAAAAATACCTCCTTGCACATGATTTGGAGGAATGCATCACTGCCTTTTGCTTTTTTCTTTTTTCCCCCTTGAAAAGGTGTTTGTTTGTTTGTTTTGATTAGCTGGGGTGATAAGTCTCCCCTTCAGCTTTTTTTGTCAGCTCTTATAACTATTTTTCACCAGTTCTAACTCCTGCTATTATGACCTGATACTAAAATATTTGTCTTTGTATGAGTGCTCATTAACCTAAGACAATCTGAGTAAAATTTCTTTTTTTTTTCCCACGGTTGGATTTTTATGTTTTATTTCTTAGTTCATTTCAAATGACCTGTATCATGAGAGTACAACTGAGACAGGCTGTTTCCTCTTCACAGATTTTCCAGAAATGGCAGGTTTTGGGTAAACTTGAGTTTTGTTCCACTGGGGGGAGGGTCCCCTAAACTCTCCTCACTTCACCACCTCCCACTAAGTCAGTCCTTTCCCTTCCCTAGAGAGGGTCTTCATCTGACCAGGCTTCCAGCTAAGAAGTTGGCTCCTAAACTTCTTTTCGGAGCATCCAATGGATCCCTTCAGTACCAGGAACTTTCCCATTGGATGGAGTTCCATTGTTACGGACACATTTCCTGTTGTGATGTGAGTTTTAAGTGTAAAAGCAGCTTCTACCTCATGGACACCAACTATCAGGACTTCCGCCCCACTGTGCTAGAGGGGCAGCAACATCAGATCCAACGAGGCACAGCTGCCTGGTGCACAGAACACCCACTTGCTCCAAGCCAGATGTTGCACGCTGAGCCAGAGATGCTTTCCCAAGGAAAGATGGGCAGCAGATGCCAGCTGGGCATGATCCCTTGCCACCTGGGTCCCCCAGCTTGAGCAGGAAGTGACAAAGCAGGGTGCCACCAAGCCCTGCTGCAAGAACACAGCACAAGAGACTAAGGGAGCCCCATGGAGCACACCCCAAGGTCTCGACTGTGAAGGTTTCCTCAGGGCAGGCCCTCAGGGTGCAGCCTCTAAACACTGTGCTAGACTTGGTTTGCAGCTGGTGTTCCTTGACAATGAGGAGGGGCCTTTGCCCCGAATGTGCGCCTCCACCCAGATCGGGGAAGAGGGGCTGCGTGGAGGGTGACGGATGCAGCATCCTGGGTGATGGCTCAATGCCCACTCCTCAAGTGACTCAGACCCGATTCCCCACAGGCAAGGGGAGTGGGGTGGACACGTCCCTGGTCTGGGAGGGCTCTTGGAATCCTTAACATTTTCTATATGAGACACCATCAGAGAGCTGCTCTGCAGTTTGTGGATTTCAGCCAGCCCTCCCTCCTGCCTGGATGACCTCAGCACGTCATCAGCATGAGGTTCCTAGGGTAGAGCCAGGGAGGCGGGACCAGGGTTTCAATGGAAAAGCTGCAGAAAGGCACCTGGCCTCCTGGTGTCCCAGTGCTGGGTGAGATTTGCCTGCCTCTCTTGACGAGGCAGGTTGGACTAGAAGGGCGTAGATGGGGGATCCCCGCGGGATTGCTCTGATCCCTGCTTGCACAGGCAGCTGATTAGAAGGGGCATTTTCCATCATGGCTTGATACTCTTTTGTCCTTGGGAGATCCTCTAAGCTGCCCTTACCAACCTGTGAGCACAGATGGGTGTTCAGGGCTGCCCCTTGAGTCAGTGAAAACCTTTATGGCCATCCACAGAAACAGGGTGACCCACTGTCCCCATGTGCCTGGGTCTGAGGAGTTTTCTGGGACAAAGGAACATCCTGGGCAAACTGGGATGGTTGGTCACCCGGCACAGCAGTCAGGGGGACTGCAGGGGTCCTGCCAGAGAGCTGGTGTGCGCGCAGTGCCCAGGGGAGCTACACCAAACTTCTGGTTGTGCAAGGGTGGCGGGAGGCCACCCCTCCTATGGCACTGGCATGCCAGCCCTGCGGCATGATACGGAGTGCAGAGAAAGGAAGCCAGGAAGGATGAGGCTGGCCACCCTGCTGAGCTCCCTCCCTTCGGGGCCCCTCTGCCTACTTCTCTCAGCTGCTGGGCCTTTCTGTGCTTGGCGAAGATTGGTCTGGGCCTCTGCCCATTTTGCCCTGATCCTCCCCCTAGGGTGCTCTCGGATGGAGTCAGGCTCCTGAGTTTTTCATGGGCACACCTGGCTTAGACCTGCCCTTCAGGAACAGGGGAAAGGCAGGAAGCGGGAAAGGGTTCTGGGGAGGATGGTGTGGCCCCTGCTCTTCTCTGTGCCAGCATGTTCCTGTCTACAGGCCCTGGAGTCACTGTGGCTGGCTGAACCCACTGGGTGAGTGAGCTCTGAGGTAGGGTCAGGAAGTATCGGAGGAACCCTGGGGGAGGAGAAGAGGAGGAGGACAGGTGGGCACTGGCATGGTGGGTGACAGGCAGGGGGCAGGCCCCGAGGGAGTGGGGTGCCCAGGAAACACGTGAGCTCTAGCCGCCGTTCTCCTGTGGGTCCGCCCTGGCTGAAAGCTGAATGGGGACTGTGGGAGATATGGGGCTCTCGAGGGGCCCCAGAGGATCTCAGCAGGCAGGGCCTCTGGAAAAAAGATGCTGTTGTCCCTTGGGTACCTGCCTTCTGCGGAAGGAAAACCTCCAGGTGGTACCCAGCCTGTGCACTGCTCACCCAGGCCATGGATGGGGGAGGGGGCAAGGGAGTTAGGAAATGCACATGCTGCCTCTTAGTGGTTTGGTGGAGGTGAGGGGCACTTGCTCCAGTGGTCTCCACTCCCGAAGGGAGTCAGCCCTGGCCCAGGCCTCCACACTACCCATGGAGAAGGAAAGACATACCAAAGAAAAAGCCAGTTACAGATGAGCCCCATGCCCCTGCCCCCCCATCCCCATCCCCCACCCCACTGCACGACAGCCAGCAGCGAGAAACCCCCTCCTCTGGGACAGCTCAGAGCTATGATACAGGGGTTGATGGTGGAGGCTGGTGGCTGTTGAGGGCTCCACCTCGGTCTCTCCGTTTGTCTGTCTGTAGGTGGGCATGGTCTGTGTGCAGGGCCATCAGAACTTGGCCTCCAGCATCTCCAGGAAGAGTTTGTGCATGGGCACCTTGCCCTGCAGTTTGACACTGTAGAAGTGCCGCACGGCCTTGGCGGCCGTTTGCCCCAGCAGGGGCAGCGTTAGCAGCAGCTTGCCCGTCCTCCGGGGCTCCTAGTGGCGCTGGCTCAGCTCGTAGTCCTGCAGCGCCTCATGCAGCAGGTCCTGCAGCTTCTGGTCAGCCTCCAGATCCTTGATGTACATGGAATCAGAGTTGGCAAAGGCCAGGGCCTTGAGTGTCACAAATTCCTCCTCCACCTTGAGCTTTCTGTACCTGCGCACCAGCTACAGGATGGCCCTGTAGAGCTACAGCAGCCCCGCAAGACGGGAGTGCTCCTTGCCCATGATGTAGTCCTCAGCATACACCAGTTTGTCGTCATAGGGCAGCGAGCAGTACAGGATGCCCAGGCACTCTGCAGCAGGCTCATCTGGTCCCCCAGGGAGAGGTTCAAGAAGCCTGGGATGTGTTTGGCCCAGCCAATGAGGACCACAAGCTCCCGGTCTGCCAGGTCACAGAGAGTGGTCAGGGCCTTGATGTCCCCCTCAGGCATGCCAGGGGGAGGCATGGCATAGAGCTTGTCCGGCTCAGCCACCAGTAGGTATGAGACAATCTTGACCAATGGCTTTTTAGCAGGTGGAGAAATTTGTAAGCTCAGATATGGGCTGCTCTCTGAGTCCAGCCCATCGCTTGTATTATTGGCAGCCTCCACGCACTCGATCAAGGCGCACACCTTCCTTCGGCATCCCCACTTTGAGGCATTTCATGAAGCGGCAGGCCTGGCAGGACTTGTGCCTCCGTTTGGTGATCTCGTACTCGTTGGTGGCCGGGCAGCTGTACTGGATGTTCCCTTGAATGGTCCTCTTGAAGAAGGCCTTGCAAGCCTTGCAGGAGGCCACGCCATAGTGGTAGCCAGTGTCAATGTCCCCGCACACGAGGCACAGGTGCTTGGGGATGGCATTGAGCATGTACTCACACTTGATGGCCGAGTCCTCCATGATGCCGGTGGGATGGTCCTCATAGCTCTTGCGGCACGGGGTGCTTCCCAGCCCGGCGCCTGCAAACATGGGTGGTGAGTCCAGACTATTGGTGTGGGTGCCGAGGGCCAGGCCAAAGCCGCTGCTGGTGTCGGACGAGCCACTGGGCTGTTGTGGCTGAGGGCATCGATGCCGGAGGATGGGCTGGACGGCTCAGTCTTGATGAAGGAGCAGCAGCTGGAGCCCAGGTGCCTGTCATCCGAGGACATTCTGTTCAGCAGCCTGTGGACACCGTAAAATTTCTTAAGAGATTTCTGGTTGAGTATATTATATTTTACCATGTAAACACAATATATGACATAATACATGTACATATGGATAAACACACGTAAACACACATATATGCACAAATATAGCTTTTATTTTAGAATTTTAGCCATGAGGCAGTAAAACACACTGAATTACAAAGGCAGTTAGCTTTTAAAAACTGAGTATTGTGGCTCATGCACGTAGTCCCAGCTTCTGAGGAAACTGAACTTGTGTCCAGTAGTTTGAGTCCAGCCTGAGCAACATAGTTAGATCTTTTCTCACAAAAAACAAAAACAATAAAGGCACTTGAATCCAAATTATATTTCTGGCAAAATGGGGCCCGTTCATATGGCTAAACATTAGTTGTCCCAATAGATAAGTAAATGGGCCAAAATTTGGGGTAAAGCAGATTTCATAGCAGTTTGATTTTTAGAAGCCTATTTTTATGCTTTTTTCAATTTAAACGACTGTTCTGTGATTCCTTTTCTGTTTTTTTTTTTTTTTTTTTGAAAAGAAAGATCCTGGTAGGTGATCTCTTTGACATCTTCAATTTTTAACTGCCATTGAAGACCCAGTAAGTCTCCTCTTCACATTTTTGTCAGCTCTTGTAACTGTTTTTCTCCAGTTCTAACTCTGCTGTTATGGCCTGATGCTAAAAGGTTTGTCTTTGTATGAGCACTCATTTACCTCAGACAATCGAGTAAAATTTCCTAAGAGATTTCTGGCTGACTATATTAGATTTTAGGGTTACATTTTTAATGTTTACATTTTAGCTAGAACTGGCTGAATTGTATAAGAAAGCCAAAATCTCAAAGTTTTTCCCCAATTTGATTCAGTACTATTGGATTTTTAAAATGTGTTTAAATTATTCCATCTATCCAGGATACTTCCCACGCTGTTCTGAAAAGCCATGTATTCCCCTGCTCAAGATAACAGTTTTCTTGTTTATATTCCTCTATAATATGTGGTACACTGATAGATTTGGACTTCACTGTTCCCACGTATGATTAAAATCAAGTGCCCTTTTCATCAGGCTCAACCTCAAGGATATCTATATGGGCTTCCCTAAGGAGAAGCAGTCACAGCGAAGGAGTTTTTGTTTTAGTTTAGTTTCTTTTTAAATTTAAATTTAAATTTTTTTTTTTACTTTTTTTGTAACCAGCCTAATAAAAAAGAATTTACATTTTATGAAGATAATTTTCCAGTGTCATCTTTCTCAGTTTTTTAAATTAGGAAAACAGAACTTTGAGACGTTTGAGTTTTTTAAAATCCATGTAACTTTCTTTAATGCTTTTGAAGTCTTTTTATTGTCACTACGGCTTAATAAATGACTACTATTTTACAGTGACCTATGATTCTGTTTTGAGCAAGTGTTTTGAACCTTTTGATATCTTTGGCAGGATTCCCAAGGACCAGAATTCTAGATTAAGTCTTTTTGAACTAAAATTAACTTTGAAATTTTTTTCTAGCTGAGCCCCTAGAGAGCCTCAAGAACACATCTCTCATCCTGAAGATATTAAATGATTAGGGTTATTTGGTAAATGATATAAAAAGCATAGTCAAATAGTAAGTAATACTAGATCTTCTTTTAGTTATATTTATGGATAAATTATTGAGATGAATATTTCAAAAATCATATAAGTTCATAAAAATCTAATATGTTAGTCATAATTTTGGTTGTCAGGTTAAATCTTTTAAGTTATATTTTTATGGATATGTTATTGGTCTAAGTATTCTAAAGATTAAGTGACATTTATAAAAGTCTGATAGACCTGTTATGAGCTGGCAGTCATGATTCTGGTTGTTACCTTAAAATGTTGTAAAGAAATGACAAGAAAATTAAATTTTCTTTTCAACTGTGACTTTCATCATATTTTAACCACAGCTATTCTAAAGTCTTTGTCATCCATAGTTATTATTTTTATTTTTCTCTAAAATTATTTATAATTGGCTATAGTCTAAAATTGCTTTTCTTAAAGACTATAACAAGTACTCTTAAACTCATATTTATAATAATTTAAAGATTAATAAACTAAAAATTTCCAAAATTCTGATGAAGAAACTAAGGGGCTCAAGAAACTGCTAATCAAGATCAAGCAAACAAAATTTTAATTACATGAGAGCTGCTGCCCCTTCCCTCTCCTCTCACTTCTCCCCACGAAGCCTACCTCCCTTCCCCTCCTTCTCTCTCTCCTCCCCTTCCCTCCTCACGCTCTTCTCCGCTCCCTCCTCCCCTCCCCTCGGCCGTCCCTCCTCCCTCCTCCTGAAGAGCGCCGCCGCGTGGGGGACCGGCCGGTTATTTCCTCCAGCGACTGACGAGCGCGGTGTCGCTCCTCCAGCCCCGAGCTCCCGGAGCCGCCGGGCCCGCGTCCGGCCTCCCCGATCGTCTCCGGCCCTCGCCCTCGCCCGGCGCACACCCAGCAGCCGCTGGCCCGGAGCAGCTACCGCCCCAACCACGCAACAGCCCTGCCCGCAGCTGCTGGATGAATGATTTCGGAATCAAGAATATGGACCAGGTAGCCCCTGTGGCTAACAGTTACAGAGGGACACTTAAGTGCCAGCCAGCCTTTGACACCTTTGATAGGTCCCTGTTTGCTGTTTTCCCTTCTCTCAGTGAAGAGCAAACACTACAAGAAGTGCCAACAGGCTTGGATTCAATTTCTCATGACTCGGCCAACTGTGAATTGCCTTTGTTAGCCCCACGCAGCAAGGCTGTGATGAGTCAAGCCTTAAAAGCTACCTGCAGGCCGGGCGCGGTGGCTCAAGCCTGTAATCCCAGCACTTTGGGAGGCCGAGGCGGATGGATCACAAGGTCAACAGATCAAGACCATCCTGGTCAACATGGTGAAACCCCGTCTCTACTAAAAATTACAAAAAATTAGCTGGGCACAGTGGCGCGTGCCTGTAATCCCAGCTACTCAGGAGGCTGAGGCAGGAAAATTGCCTGAACCCAGGGGGTGGAGGTTGCGGTGAGCCGAGATCGCGCCTTTGCACTCCAGCCTGGGTAACAAGAGCGAAACTCCGTCTCAAAAAAAAAAAAAAAAAAAAAAAGCTACCTGCAGTGGCTTTAAAAACGAACAGCGGCCTCGGCATTCCAAAGAACCCTGGCTGTGGAGTGAGCAGCAGGTATGCCAGTGGCTTCTCTGGGCGACCAACGAGTTCAGTCTGGTGAACGTGAATCTGCAGAGGTTCGGCATGAATGGCCAGATGTTGTGTAACCTTGGCAAGGAACGTTTTCTGGAGCTGGCACCTGACTTTGTGGGTGACATTCTCTGGGAACATCTGGAGCAAATGATCAAAGAAAACCAGGAAAAGACAGAAGATCAATATGAGGAAAATTCACACCTCACCTCAGTTCCTCATTGGATAACAGCAATACATTAGGTTTTGGCACAGAGCAGGAGCCCTATGGAATGCAGACACAGAATTACCCCAAAGGCAGCCTCCTGGACAGCATGTGTCCGTCTTCCACACCCAGCGTACTCAGCTCTGAGCAGGAGTTTCAGATGTTCCCCAAGTCTAGGCTCAGCTCCGTCAGCATCTCCTACTGCTCCATCAGTCAGGACTTCCCAGGCAGCAACTTGAGTTTGCTCACCAACACTTCTGGGACGCCCAAAGACCACCTCTCCACCGAGAACGGTGCAGACAGCTTCGAGAGTTCAGACTCCCTCCTCCAGTCCTGGAACAGCCAGTCGTCCTTGCTGGATGTGCAGCGGGTGCCTTCCTTTGAGAGCTTCGAAGATGACCGCAACCAGTCTCTCTGCCTCAGTAAGCCGACCATGTCTTTCAAGGATTACATCCAAGAGAGGAGTGGGGTTCACACCCGAGGAGCTGCATGCCATCCTGGGCATCCAGCCCGACAAGGAGGACTGAGGCTGCCGGGACCTCCCTGAACCGGCCCAGGCTCGTGGACTGAGTGGGAAGTCCATCCTGACCAACTGCTTCGAGGACCCAGGAAAGGCAGGAATGAAAACGCCCAGGAAAGTCGCCAAGAAGCAGTGGCCTTATTGCCTCCCAAACCACGCCTCTTGACCAGGCTGTCTCCCTGGTGACAGGGACAGCACCGCTATGTCTCCTCACAGTGCTTTTAAGTGAAAATGGTAGAGAAAGAGGCACTGGGAAGCCATCCTGGCTTCTGGCAGGCTGTGGACGGGATGGCTCTGGCTGTTTGAGACTCTCAAAGGATCGAGCATGTCGCAGACACACACACACACACACACACACACACACACACACACACACACACAATTGTTAGATTTTCTTTTGCCTTCTGCAACCAGGAACAGCAAATGCCAAAACTCTTTGAGAGGGGTAGGAGGGTGGGAAGGAAACAAACTTGTCATTTCAGAAGTTAGTGTGTATATATTATTGTAATCTTACAATTGTTCTCAAAATCCCCTAACAGTTCTATTTATCAGAAATTATATATTGTAATTTAAAATAATTATATAACTGTATTTGAAATAAGAATTCAGACATCTAAGGTTTTATTTCATTCTTCAACAGCACATATGGAATTTTGCAAAGATTTAATCTGCCAAGGGCCAAATAAGAGAACTTGTAAAGTATGTGTCATTTACATTTAATAGACTTACAGGGATAAGGCCTCTGGAGGGTAATCCCCTCTTTTTGTGTTTTTTGTTTTTGGGGGTTTTCTTGCCTTGGTTGTCTGGCAAGGACTTTGCACATTTAGGGATTTTTATGAGAAACCAAAATGTTATTGTCTGGGGTTATATCTGGCCTCTGCTTTTTCCTTTAGTTGTAAAGTCAAAGCTATAAAGCAGTATTTTTCTTGACAAATGGCATGTTTTCCACTTGTGCATGCCTTTCAGTCAGTTTATACACAAAATAGACTTTGTTTTTTAGTTTAACTGCGTTTCTCCAACAGCTCACCTCTCCCTGACCAACCAGCCATTTCCTTCCTGCGCTCCACGTTCTTCTGTATGATTAAAATAAGAATACTATTTTTGGAAATAGGCAACCCCTTTTCAGAGATCAGGAGGGATTTATGTAGCAGCTATTTTTACTGCAAAAGTAATTCACTGGAAAAAAATGTAATTTGTAAAAAAGCTTTATTTTTATCTCAGCTCCATGTAAAGTTAAACTTACTGTACAGAGCTGAAGGACGGTGGGCAGTGGGGGTCTCAATGAAACCTCTTCAAGGAAGCACGGTTTGTCCCATCTGTCTTCACTTGCGTGTCTCAAACCATCTGAATAGCATGCTGCCCCTTTCTGCTCAGTGCCCACAGTGCCCTTATTCTTGTTTTCTTGGACTCAGAATGTTCTGAGGCACAGAGCAGGTACTTAAGATTGGAAAGAGAACGCATCGGAGCCATTCGTTTGGAGAAATTGTTTTGATCGAGATGGAGACTTTTGTAGTCATTTCAAAAGAGTACCTGAGTCATGTGTATTCCTGGCCTTTATAAATGACCTGGTCAAGTTGGTTTCAAAGTCTGATGGGCTTGACTGTTTACTAGCTGTGTGGCCTTGGACCGGTGGCTGACATCTGTAAAGAATCCTCCTGTGATGAAACTGAGGAATTGGGTGGCCTGGCAAGCTGGGAAGAGCAAAACCAGAGCTGCAAAGCCTAAATACCCACAAAAGAACATTTCCAGTATACTTAAACACAGGATGTTTTTCTCAAGAGGAACGTGTTTATCACTCACACATTTGTTTATAATATAAACAGATGATATATCTGTTTTTGATATAAACAGACACGTGACTGGGAACATCTTGCTGCCAAAAGAAGAGAAGCCATTGGCTCATTGGATGTGAGGTTGAGCCATGCGAAATTGTCAATATTAGACTGGTTTTTATCTAAGGAGTTTCATGGGGTTCAACCTAATAGCTATGGAAACTAAAGTCCTTATAAACCATTGGCATGGTAATGAACGGATCTTAAGTATAAAAGTTTTGTAATTGGGCCTTTACTCTCTCAGTAATAAAGTATTTTGTTTATATATAAAAAAATTACGTAAGATTGAATAATTGATGAAAATATTACTTTTATAACTTTTATTTTAAACATTGCAAGAGGGAGAAAACAAAGGAGAGAACAAGAGTCTCTGCCTAGTAATACAGATAATTCTCACAGATCTTGTCCAAGACCATCAGTGTGACACATCTACAAGTTTGCAAGAAGCACAGTATTACTGGGCTTGAGGTGCTCCCTAAAGCAAATACAGCTTAGATCACAACACTCAAGCCCTGTGGAATATCTGGAAAGCCTTCCCAAGAAGGATGGGTACAAATAAGCCAAGACAGTGAAGACTACAGTAAATGCCTAATTCCTCCATGGCTACAAATCAAAGAACATCTATGAGCATCAACGCCATCCAGAAAACATCACTTCCCCAAGTAAATTAAATAAAACACCAGGAACCAATCCTGGAGATACTGAGATATATGACCTTTCAGACAGAGTATTCAAAATAGCTCTGTTGAGAAAATGCAAAGAAATTTAAGATAACACCAAGAAGAAATTCAGATTTCTGTTAGATAAATTTAACAGAGATTGAAATAATTAAAAAGAATCAAGCAGAAATTCTGGAGCAAATAATTGCAGTTGTCATACTGAAGAACACAATATAATCTTTTAATAGAATAATTGATCAAGCAGAAGAAAGAATTAGTGAGTCTGAAGACAGGCTATTTGAAAATACACAGTCAGAGGAGAAAAAACAACAGCAACAATAGCAAAGCATGCCTACAGAATCTAGAAAATAGACTAAAAGGGTAATTCTCAGAGTTATTGGCATTAAAGAGGAAGGAGAGAAAAATATAGAAATAGAAAGTTTATTCAAAGAAATAATAATAGAGAACTTTTTTTTCAAAGTGATAAGAACAGAGAACTTCTCTTAAGAACCTAGAGAAAAGATATTAATATCAACAATACATCAAGCAACTTTAACCCAAAGAAGACTACCTCAGGCATTTAATAATCAAACTTCCAAAGTTTAAGAAAAAAGGATTCTAAAAGCAGCAAAAGAAAAGAAGAAAATAACAAACAAGGGACCTCCAATACATCTGGCAGCAGACTTTTCAGTGGAAATTTTACATGCAAAAGAGAGTGGAATTACATATTTGAAGTGTCAAGAGAAACAACAACTTTTACCCTAGCTTAGTGTATCTGGTGAAAATATTCTTCAGACACGAAGAAGGAATAAAGACTTTCCCCAAACAAACCAAACTTGAGATGCTTTATCAACAGTAGACCTGTCTTATAAGAAATGCTAAAGACAGTACTTCAATCAGAAATAAAAAGACATTAATGAGCAATAAGTAATTATATGAAGGTATAAAACTCACTGGTAATAGTAAATACACAGAAAACCAGAATATTATAACACTGCAAGTGTATTTTGTACACTACTTAGGATAACTAAGTAGAAAGACTAAGCAATGAACCAATAAAAAATGATAACTACAAGACATAGTTAACTTTTCAAGACATAGTTAAGACAAAAAGATATTGATAGAAACAAGAAAAAGTTAAAAAGTGGAAGGATGAAGTTAAGGCATAGAATTTTTTTTCTGTTTTGTTTGTTTATGCAAACAGTGGTGGGTTATCAGGTTAAAATAATGGGATATGGTCTAAGAAGCAGCTTCTCCGCTCCTTCTGGAATCTCTCCCTAGTTCAGCCCACCTATCTCCACTCCTGCCTCTACCATGTCCATCAGGGTGACCCAGAAGTCCTACAAGGTGTCCACCTCTGGCCCCGGGGCCTTCAGCAGCTGCTCCTTAATGAGTGGGCCCAGTGCCCGCTTGAGCTTCTCCCGAGTGAGCAGTAGTGGCTTCTGGGGTGGCCTGGGTGCAGGCTATTTTGGGGCCAGCGGCATAGGCATGGGAGGTATCACCACCGTCACCATCAACCAGAGCCTGCTGAACCCCATTAAGGTGGATGTGGACCCCAACATCCAGGCCGTGCGTACCCAGGAGAAGGAGCAGATCAAGACCCTCAACAACAAGTTTGCTTCCTTCATCGACAAGGTGCGGTTCCTGGAGCAGCAGAACAAGATGCTGGAGACCAAGTGGAGCCTCCTGCAGCAGCAGAAAATGGCTAGGAGCAACATGGACAACATGTTTGAGAACTACATCAACAACCTGAGGCGGCAGCTGGAGACTCTGGGCCAGGAGAAGCTGAAGCTAGAGGCGGAGCTTGGCAACATGCAGGGGCTGGTGGAGGACTTCAAGAACAAGTATGAGGAAGAGATCAATAAGCGTACAGAGATGGAGAATGAATTTGTCCTCATCAAGAAGGATGTGGATGAAGCTTACATGAACAAGGTAGAGCTGGAGTCTCGCCTGGAAGGACTGACTGACGAGATCAACTTCCTCAGGCAGCTGTATGAAGAGGAGATTCAGGAGCTGCAGTCCCAGATCTCCGACACATCTGTGGTGCTGTCCATAGACAACAGCCACTCTCTGGACATGGACGGCATCATTGCCGAGGTCAAGGCGCAGTATGAGGAGATTGCCAACCACAGCCGGGCTGAGGTGGAGAGCATATACCAGATCAAGTATGAGGAGTTGCAGATGCTGGCTGGGAAGCACGGGGATGACCTGCGGCGTACGAAGACTGAGATCTCCAAGATGAACCGGAACATCAGCTGGCTCCAGGCTGAGATCGAGGGCCTCAAAGGCCAGAGGGCTTCCCTGGATGCCGCAATTGCAGATGCTCAGCAGTGCGGGGATCAGGCACTCAAGGATGCTCATGACAAGCAGAAGGAGCTGGAGGCCGCCCTGCAGCAGGCCAAGCAGGACATGGCAAAGCAGCTCCGTGAGTACCAGGAGTTGATGAATGTCAAACTGGCCCTGGACATCGAGAACACCACCTACCACAAGCTACTGGAGGGTGAGGAGAGCCGGCTGGAGTCTGGGATGCAGAACATGAGTATCCACACGAAGACCACCAGCGGCTATGCAGGTGGACTGAGCTCTGCCTATGGGGGCTTAACAAGCCCCAGCCTCAGCTACAGCCTGGGCTCCAGCTTTGGCTCTGTCATGGGCTCCAGCTCCATCAGCCGCATCAGCTCCACCAAGGCTGTGGTTGTGAAGATTGAGACCCGCGATGGGAGGCTGGTGTCTGAGTCCTCTGACGTCCTGCCCAAGTGAACAGCTGCAATAGCCCCTCCCAGCCTGCCCCTCCTGAGGCTGCCCCAGAGCCCAGGAGGGAGGTTGCTGTGCAGAGGAGCGCAGGGAACAGGAGACCCACCTGACCCTCAGCCCTAGCCCTCAGCCCACCGGCAGGGAGTTTACTGCCTGGGGACCCCCCTGGCCCATGCCTCCAGCTGCAAAACAATTCAATTGCTTTTTTTTTTTTGGTCCAAAAATAAAATCTCAGCTAGCTCAGAAAAAAAAATAAAATAATGGGTTATAAGAGTATTTGCAAGCCTCATGGTAACTTCAAACAAGAAAACACACAAGCAATAAAAAAAAAAAGGAAGAAACCTTCACTAAAGGAAAGAAAGAAGGAAGAAAAAGCCACAGATAATCAGAAGACAATAAAATGGTGGAGTTAGTTCTTACTTATTAATAATACATTAAATGTAACTAGACTAAATTCTCCAATTGAAAGAGACATAGACTGGCTGAATAGATGAAAAAGCAAGATCGATTGATTGGCTGTCAATAAGAAACACATTTCACCTATAAAGACACCAAAGGACTGAAAATAAAGGGATGGAAAATGAGATTTCAATTCAATGGAAACCGGAAAAGAGCAGGAGTAGGTAAAGTTATACCAGAAAAAATAGATTTCAAGACAAAAACTGAAGAGAAAAATAAAGTCACTATAGGAGGACAAAGTGGTCAATTCAGCAAGAGGATATAAAAATTTAAAATATATGTACACCCAACATGGGAGTACTCAGATATATAAAGTAAATATTATTAGCACTGAAAGGAGAGAGAAGCTCTAATACAATCATAGCTGGAAACTTCAACATCCCATTTTCAGCACTGGACAGATATCCAGACAGAAAATCAACAAAGAAACATCAAACTTAATCTGCACTATAGACCAAACATTTCATCCAACATAGTAAATGAAAACTTAGAAAAACTGAAATAATACTAAGTGTCTTTTTGTCCACAATGGAATAAAACCAGAAATCAATAACAAGAGGAATCTTGGAAACTATATAATACATGCAAATTAAGCCATGTGCCCCTTAATGACTAGTGGGCCAATGCAAAAATTAAGAAAATGTAAAAATGAAAAAAAAAAAAAAAAGACATTTGAAAAAGGAAAAGGCGAACAACCCAGGATTGGAGCTCTCCTTGAATCCGTGGAGAGGTGAGTCGGAGCTGCATTTCCAGACTGATCTTTGTTGCCCACAGAATGGGGAAATTCCTAAGTATAAAGGAGACGCGGGACGCCTGGCAGTACCTCTGCCTGGCAAAGCCGGCAGCCTGGGTGGCGGCGGCCGGCCCTACCCATCGCTCCCCACAGGGCGCGCTTGTCAGGGTGCCCTGTTGAACCAGCAACCTGAGACTTGAGAGGGCTGGACTTGAGACTGAACGAGACTTGCACAGTGGGCCAGCCCAGGGGATTGCAGGGACAGAGCGTTTGGGCTAGCCCAGTGGGACGAACAAAACCGCGATTTCAAACGATCCCTGTGCAGTTGGTCTGAGACGCTCTGTGGGGGAGGGGCATCCACCATTACCGAGGCAACCCGCCCCAACTGAGATACACGCCCACTGCTGATGCAGCCAGCCGTTGCCGAGGCAACCCGTCCCTACTGAGATACACGCCCACTGCTGACGCAGCCTGCCGTTGCCGAGGCAACCCGCTACAACAGAGAGACTCCTCCTCAGGGCGTGGCGGAGACCACAGCAGAACAGCAGAGCCTGCCCCAACAGGGCGAGCCCCACAACAGCAGGGCGGAGCCTCGGCAGGCAAACAGTGGCTAGTCTGCCTTCTAGCTGGGCAGGACACCTCAATGAACATCCAAAAATAAAGCCCGAACCCCCCACCACAGAGCATTTGAGAAACAAAGGGTTTTTAAAATGAGCTCTGTTGCAGCAGAATCAAACATAGCAGCCTAACAGCCCTGAATGAACAACAGAGATCACAGCTCAGCAATTGAGCTCCTATAAAGTACAGACTGTCTCTTCAAGCAGCTCCCTGACCCCCTCTATATCCAAAAGACTGACACTTTGCAGGCATCATCCTGGGACAAAGATAGCAGAAAAAGAAACTGGTAGCATCCCTCACTGTGCCACAGCTGCTAGAGGTGCACCCCAGACAAGCAGGGCCTGGAGTGGACCTCAGCAGTTGTACAGCGAAGGGGCTAGACTGGGAGAAGGAAAACCAAGTAACAGAAACACTTCATCAACAATCTGGGTGTCCACTCAGAGACCCAATCGAAAAGTCAGCAACTACGCAGACGACAAGCGGATAAATCCACAAAGATGGGAAGAAACCAGCACAAAAAGGAGGAAAACAACCAAAACCAGAACACCTCGCCTCCTAGAAAGGACCAAAACTCCTCCCAGCAAGGGAACAAAGCTGGACGGAGAATGACTGTGACGAAATGACGGAATTAGACTTCAGAAGGTGGATAATGAGAAACTTTTGTGAGCTAAAAGAACATGTATTAAATCAATGCAAAGAAACTAAGGAACTTGAAAAAAGATATGAGGAAATGATAACAAGAATGGATAACTTAGAGAGGAATATGAATGAATTAAAGGAGCTGAAAAACACAATACGAGAACTTTGCGAAGCAAACACAAGTTTCAATAGCCGAATTGACCAAGCAGAAGAAAGAATATCTGAAGTCGAAGACCAACTCAATGAAATAAAACGAGAAACCAAGATTAGAGAAAAAAGCGCAAAAAGGAATGAACAAAGTCTCCAAGAAATGTGGGACTATGTGAAAAGACCTAACCTACGTTTGATAGGTGTACCAGAAGGGGACGAAGAGAATGAATCCAAGCTTGAAAATACTCTTCAGGGCATCATCCAGGAAAATTTCCCCCACCTAGCAAGACAGGCCAACACTCAAATACAGGAAATACAGAGAACACCACAAAGATATTCCGCAAGAAGAGCAACCCCAAGGCACATAATCATCAGATTCAACAAGGTTGAAATAAAGGAGAAAATACTAAGGGCAGCCAGAGAGAAAGGTCGGGTCACCCACAAAGGGAAGCCCATCAGACTCACAGCAGATCTCTCATCAGAAACACTACAAGCCAGAAGAGAGTGGGGGCCAATATTCAACATTCTTAAAGAAAAGAACTTTCAACCCAGAATTTCATATCCAGCCAAACTGAGCTTCGTAAATGAAGGAAACATAAAATCCTTTGTGAACAAGCAAGCACTCAGAAATTTTGTCACCACCAGGCCTGCTTTACAAGAGCTCCTAAAAGAGGCCCTACACATAGAAAGGATCAACCAGTACCAGCCATTCCAAAATCACACCAAATGCTAAAGAGCATCAACATAATGAAGAATCTACAGCAACTAACAGGCAAAACAGCCAGCTACCATCAAAATGGCAGGATCAAATTCACACATAACAATATTAACCCTAAATGTAAATGAACTAAACGCACCAATCAAAAGACACAGACTGGCAAATTGGATAAAAATCCAAAACCCATCAGTGAGCTGTATCCAGGAAACCCATCTCACATGCAAGGATACACAAAGGCTCAATATAAAGGGATGGAGGAAGATTTACCAAGCAAATGGAGAGCAAAAGAAAGCAGGAGTTGCAATTGTCATCTCTGATAAAATAGACTTTAAAGCAACAAAGATCAAAAGAGACAAAGAAGGACATTACATAATGGTAAAAGGATCGATACAACAAGAAGAGCTAACGATCCTGAACATATATGGACCCAATGCAGGAGCACCCAGATACATAAGGCAAGTTCTTAATGACTTACAAAGAGACTTAGACTCCCACACAATAATAGTGGGAGACTTTAACACTCCACTGTCAATATTAGACAGATCAACCAGACAGAAAATCAACAAGAATATCCAGGGCTTGAACTCAGACCTGGAGCAAGCAAACCTGATAGACATTTACAGAAGTCTCCACCCCAAATCCACAGAATACACATTCTTCTCAGCACCACATCACACCTACTCTAAAATTGACCACATCATTGGAAGGAAAGCACTGCTCAGAAAATGCAAAACAACTGAAATAATAACAAACAGCCTCTCAGACCATAGTGCAATCAAGTCAGAACTCAGAATACAGAAACCAACCCAGAACCGCACAGCTTCATGGAAACTGAACAACTGGCTCTTGAATGTTGACTGGGTAAACAATGAAATGAAGACAGAAATAAAGAAGTTCTTTGAAACCAATGAGAACGAAGACACAGCATGTCAGAACCTCTGGGACACATTTAAAGCAGTCTCTAGAGGAAAGTATATAGCAATAAGTGCCCATATGAGGAGAATGGAGAGATCCAAAATTGACACCCTATCGTCAAAAGTGAAAGAGCTAGAGGAGCAAGATCAAAAAAACTCAAAACCCAGCAGAAGACAAGAAATAACTAAGATCAGAGCTGAACTGAAGGAGATAGAGACACGAAAAACCCTTCAAAAAATCAATAAATCCAAGAGCTGGTTTTTTGAAAAGATCAACAAAATAGACAGACCACTAGCCAGATTGATAAAAAAGAAAAGAGAGAACAACCAAGTAGATGCAATAAAAAATGATAAAGGGGAAATCACCACAGACTCCACAGAAATTCAAACGATCATCAGAGAATATTACAAACAACTCTATGCACATAAACTAGTAAACCTGGAAGAAATGGATAAATTCCTGGACTCCTGTGTCCTTCCAAGCCTAAACCAGGAGGAAGCTGAAACTATGAATAGACCAATAACAAGGTCAGAAGTCGAGGCAGCAATTAAGAGCCTACCACTCAAAAAAAGCCCAGGTCCAGACGGGTTCACAGCCGAATTCTACCAGACACACAAAGAGGAGCTGGTACCATTCCTTCTGAAACTATTTCAAACAATCCAAAAAGAGGGAATCCTTCCCAAATCATTTTATGAGACCACCATTATTCTGATACCAAAACCCGGCAGAGACCCAACAAGAAAAGAAAACTTCAGGCCAATATCCATGATGAACATAGATGCAAAAATCTTCAATAAAATATTGGCAAGCCGATTGCAACAGCAAATCAAAAATCTTATTCATCATGATCAAGTAGGATTCATCCTGGGGATGCAAGGCTGGTTCAACATACGCAAGTCTATCAACGTAATTCACCACATAAACAGAACCAAAAACAAAAACCACATCATTATCTCAATTGATGCAGAGAAGGCATTTGACAAAATTCAACAGCCCTTTATGCTAAAAACCCTCAATAAACTCGGTATTGATGGAACGTATCTCAAAGTAATAAAAGCTATTTATG